CGAGAGCCTCCGCGCCGCCTCCCGCCCCTTCCTGCGCCGAGGGGCGCTGTGCGGGGAGCGGCCTCCGGATGGTGGCGTGGGGCGGGGCAGGCGTTGTGGGGCCTGACTCACTGTCCCCCCTGCGTGGATGGGACCTTGACTCAGTAGGTGGTGGAGGGGGGTGAGCCTTGACTCAGTTTCCCTCCGGGGCTCCGGAGGGCAGTTCTTAGTTTTCTTGTTCGGAATGTATCTGACTCAGTTTCCTCTCAGGATCCCGGGTGGGGAGTGCTGTCTTTTAGTTTTTCTTGTGAAAGTAGAAAAGGCCCTGACTCAGTTTCCCCGAGTAAAGGGAGAACATCATGCCCGGTGTTCTCTCAGGAAACAGGTGTTTCTGGCTGCTTTGCTCCCACCCCTTAGTTTCACCATAGGTTCCAGGGAGCAGGCCCTGACTCAGTTTCCCTGGGAGGCCCTCCCTGGTGAAGATCGGAAGTGAGCTTGTGCTGACCCCTTTCTCCCTCCCCTTTCAGACCTGTTCCCCCTCATCTTCCCCTCTGGTAAGTGGACCATCCGTCCTCAGTGCTTTGGGAGGAGCTCCCCAGGGCTTGGGGCAGTGGGGGCAGCCGCCTGATGGGGGCTGGCTGGTGTGTCCCCGCAGAGCCAGCCCAGGCCTCCGGGCCCTACGTGGAGATCATCGAGCAGCCCAAGCCGCGGGGCATGCGCTTCCGCTACAAGTGCGAGGGCCGCTCAGCAGGCAGTATCCCCGGAGAGAGGAGCACAGACACCACCAAGACCCACCCCACCATTAAGGTCAGCAAAGGCTGCGGGACATGGAGTCAGTGGGGAGGGACTGTGGATCCCCAGCAGGTTTGCCTCCAGGTCCCCTTGGAATTTGTGTCTGGGAGTTAGCTCTGAAATTCCTGAACCTCAGGGTGCTGTCTGTACTTTGGACAGATCAATGGCTACACAGGGCCAGGGACAGTTCGCATCTCCCTGGTTACTAAGGACCCCCCTCACCGGCCTCACCCCCATGAGCTCGTGGGGAAAGACTGTCGGGATGGCTTCTATGAGGCTGAGCTCTGCCCGGACCGCTGCATCCACAGGTAAGCTCCCCACAGGCCGGCAGGGCTTTGGGGGTGAGGTGGGAGGACAAGAGGAGGGGCAGTTGTGTCACTGTTACAGTGTTACTTTCTGGACCCAGGGCAGAATGCCTCACACTTGCTCTGTCCCCTGCTCAGCTGCAAGCAGATTTCCTTTGTCTTAAAATCATGTATTATGTGTCTACTCTCTCAAGTACATGCCAGTTTCATTGCAGCACAGTGGGAAGCCATGTCAGATGGGAATGGGTCCATAATTACCTCTGACCCCCAACCCCTGTGGCTGGAACAGCGAGTCCCTTAGTGTCACATCTCTTGTAATGAGAAAGAAAACCATAGAACCAGCAGTCTCCCCTGGAGCTTACATACCAGTTGACAGAGACAGGCTGTAAACAAATATATAAATAAAGCAAAACACTGTTCAGGAATAATAACTTAATGATGAAAATGAATTAGTAATAAGCTGGAATATCCCAGCATGGGGTGAGCGAGGAAGCTGTCCGCGTTACTTTGCACTGGGAGGTCTGGGAAGGCCTCTTCCAGGTAAGATGCATGGTGAGAAAGAGTAGGGAAGCGCGGACGGAACGTTTTAAGCAGAGTGAACAAGTGCAAAGGCCTTGGAGTGGGAATGAGTGTAGTGTGTTGGAGAACAGAAGAGAAGCCTCTGTGATTGGGGAAGGAGCCGGCAGGGATTGTGGCTAGGGCCAGATCACAGGCAGAGGGTCTTGTCAGCCAGAGCAAGGAGTGGGTTTCATTGCAGTGCAGTGGGAAGCCATTCGAGAGGGTTAAGCATGGAGTGGTGGTCTGGTCAGGAGGTAGGGGAGGAAGGGGCAGACTGGGAGAAGCAGGAGGGCCCAGGCGCTGCTGGAGACAGTGTGACTGATGCCCGGGGGAACTCAGCTTCCAGAACCTGGGGATCCAGTGTGTGAAGAAGCGGGACCTGGAGCAGGCCATCAGTCAGCGCATCCAGACCAACAACAACCCCTTCCAAGGTGAGGGCTGAGGGGGAGAAGGCCCGGGCCTGCCTGGAGCACCCCCACCCTCTGTCCCCCTTCCGAAGCCACCTTCCCTGCATCTCTCCCTCACTGGCTAAGACTCACAGTACAGATGGAATCTTGCTGGCCATTCAGTACACTCCCATTTTACCATTGGGAAAACAGACCCAGAGAGGGGACGTGACAGCCAGGGTCACACAGGTCAGTGATGGGTCTAGAACCTTCTCTCCCTCCTCTAGGACTCCTACTGTTTCACACACCCTCAAACAACCCTTCTAGCAGAGCTCCCTGTCGCACCCCCTGCCCTGGCTCTCCTGACCATCTGTCTTTCTGGCAGTTCCCATAGAAGAGCAGCGCGGAGACTACGACTTGAATGCTGTGCGGCTCTGCTTCCAGGTGACAGTGCGGGACCCATCAGGCAGGCCCCTCCGCCTGGCACCTGTCCTCTCTCATCCCATCTTTGACAACCGTGAGTCGCCAGGGAGTGCAGGAAGGGGAGGGGATGGGCCTGTGAGGGGAAGGGAGTGAGTGGTTACAGCCTGTGAGAGGGCTTGGGCTTTGTACAGTCATCTGGACTTTTCGTCTCTCCTCTGTCCGGCTCCACTGGCCTGGGAGCCATGGCAGAGAGGACCCAGAGCTGCCCTTGTGTAGTTTTCAGGCTGGCAGGGAGTCAGATGGGAGACAGGCATTTCCTGTATGTGATGAGAGGATGGTGTGCCCAGAACTGCATTAATGGCTCCAGGAAATAAACTCCCAGGAAAAGACAGTGTTAGAAAGTAATACTTCAATGATAAAAGCTGACAGGAAGTTCACAGATCAATTAGGCTGACATTAACTGCAGTCTTTAATTAAGTAACCAACAGGAGGAATGAAATAAAAGGGCTCTAGGCCGTAAGGACAGGAAACTGAAGGGGGGGGG